GGCTCACAGGGCTCCACACCTACTACTGAACTTGAACTTCTCTGCCTGCCCCCCCCCCCCTGCCTCCTCCCTCAGCCGTGGCCCCACGGATGCTGTCGCCGCCGGACAGGCTGTACACGGCCACAGAGGGACAGGCCGCGCACTTGGACTGTGCCGTGTTTGGGTTGCCGCGTCCCAACATCCTGTGGTGAGAGCGACGCTGGCCCGGCTACTTTACTCTCTCCGTGAACTAAGCACTCTTTGTTGTTGCTGTTGTCGTTGTTGTTGTTGTTGAATGGGGTCCTGGTTGGAGGGGGAAGAGCGCCTAGCTTAAATATACGCTGCCAAGCCTGGCGGTGTTTCATTCAGATGCTGTCTCCCCGACAGACCTGTTCTTCACCTGAGGATGGCTGCTTGCGTTGTGGCCAAAACGTCGTGAGAATTCGATTTTATTGTGTTTTATTTTTATCATTTATTATTTCCCTTCTACGTGACTTTACCGAAAGAACCAAGAAGAAAAAATTAACCCGTGAAAACAAGGTTTTCACTATAAATCCTTTATATGTGGGGCATCGGTTTTATTTTATTATTCATTTCTGTTTTCTTGAGTAAGAGTTTCATTTTTATCACATTGGTATTTTAAATTAAATATAAGGAAAGTCATATATAAGGATTATAAGGTTTTCAGTTTTGTATGATTGTTTATATTGTACATTTTGTTATTTTCTTGAATAATTTTCTGTGTTTAGGAAAAATATACGATTGTGTTAGTGAAATAGTTTTTTCCTAAAAAGTGGAAAATTTTGGAGAAAAAATTTTCACGAAAATACATTGTCACGCACAACGAGTCTGTGTGCAAAATGTCAGCTCGATTGGATCACGGGAAGTGGGTTAAAAAACGACCGAAAGTTTTGCACGGTCGTAAGCGCGCAAGCAAGTGAACTTATATAAAGGATTTAAAAATAGTTTCGCCGCTTACTAGTCGTCAAGGCTCCCCCCCCCTCTTTGCTTGCGCCGCGCACCGCCAGGTTCAAAGGGCGACTACGCCGGACCCCTGGCGGGCGAGCGCCACCAAACCTTGGCCAACGGCACGCTGCTCATCTGGAGCGTGTCGCCTGGCGACTCGGGCACGTACACGTGCTTGCGGTCAACAAGCTGCACCACGAGCAACTGCGGGGCGCGCCTCTACGTACAAGGTCGGCAAGAGCATCGCCGGCCGGCCGGCTGCCCTCTCCGCTCCAGCACGCTCGTGCCCCCCCCCCCCCCTTCTCTCACGCATCCCCCCCTAGTGGAGCTTCTTTGCCGCTAGAAACACTCCGACTGGTTTGGCCCATCGCTCGCTGCTCTCTCCCCCCCCCTCCCCCCCCCCCGTTGGTAACTGCCCCCTCCCTACAGTCGCCAGCGGCATCAGCAGCAGCAGCAGCAGCTCGGAGCCGGGAGCCGTGCCACTGGACGGCACAGGTCTCTGGGGCTCCACCACCACCACCGCCACCACCACCGCCACCACTGCCACCACCACTACCACTGCCACCACCACTACCACTGCCACCACCACCACCACCACTGCCACCACCACCACTGCCACTACCACCGCTGCCACCACCACTGTCGCCACCACCACCGTCGCCACCACCACCGCCGTCACCACCACCATAACAGTCGCCACAAGCGCCACCACAACCACTCGGCACCACTACTACGGCATGAGGACACCGTCAGCACGCACGCCACCAGCCAGCGGCGGAGGTGCCAACGCTGATGACGGTGAGTTCCTCTCCTCCCTCCCGCACACGATCGCAGTGACGCCAAAATGTTAACTACCTCGCCCGGTACACAGGAGTTTGCGGGTTCGATCCTGACCTGGCGATGCCCGTACGTCTGTTGTTTGCGTGTCTCTCTCCCCGCGGTCGCGTCCATTTGCTGCGCAATTAGAAGTAACATTTGTGGGAAAAGTCCACGAAGTTTTTCATTTTATGGGAACAGCTTCAACGCAGCCAGTTGGATCGCTGTGCACAAGATGGCGGCGATGGCTTGTCACGTCCCCGGGGGGGTCCGCGTATCAGCCAGATCGACGGCGGCCGCCGGTCACGGAAGACGCATCAATCCCACGGGGTCGGCAGTGACCTCGGTGCGGTGCCAGTGTTTTTATCGTCCACGAAGAGTCGTCGCTTGTGGCCGTGCGACTCTCGTGACCCCCCCCCCCCCCCCCAGGCCGCTCCTCGTCAGAAGATGAGTCGCTCGACACGACGACTAAGAGCCCCTTCGTCAGCGCCGCGATCGCCGCGATCGCCGCGGTGGCCGCGATGGTGCCGCTGACCGTCGTGGTGTGCGCCGCGTGCCGGGCCAGGAGACGGAAGCAGACACACCACACAGAGACCCATAGACTCATCACACAGAGACCCATAGACTCACCACACAGAGACCCATAGACTCACACACAGAGACCCATAGACTCACCACACAGAGACCAATAGACTCATCACACAGACCCACAGACTCACACACAGAGACCCTTAGACTCACCACACAGAGACCCACAGACTCACTCAACACAGAGACCCATAGACTCACTCACACAGAGACCCATAGACTCACTCACACAGAGACCCATAGACTCACTCACACAGAGACCCATAGACTCACTCACACAGAGACCCATAGACTCACTCACACAGAGACCCATAAACTCACTCACACAGAGACCCATAGACTCACTCACACAGAGACCCATAGACTCACTCACACAGAGACCCATAGACTCACTCACACAGAGACCCATAGACTCACTCACACAGAGACCCATAGACTCACTCACACAAAGACCCATAGACTCACACAGAGACCCATAGACTCAACACACAGAGACCCATAGACTCACACACAGAGACCCATAGACTCACACACAGAGACCCATAGACTCACCACACAGAGACCCATATACTCATCACACAGACCCACAGACTCACACACAGAGACCCTTAGACTCACCACACAGAGACCCACAGACTCACCACACAGAGACCCACAGACTCACCACACTGACCCACAGACTCATCACACAGAGACCCATAGACTCATCACACAGAGACCCACAGACTCACCACACAGAGAGACCCACAGACTCACCACACAGAGACCCACAGACTCACCACACAGAGACCCACAGACTCACCACACAGAGACCCACAGACTCACCACACTGACCCATACAGGTGTAATACGTGTCTCCGACACGCTAAGAACTCAAGTCGTTTATTAATAAATCTTTGGCACAGCTGGTTGTCTCTCTCTCTCTCACTACGGAGTGATGATCGCCGCCCCGCACCAGGGACTACTTTTAGGCCGAGTTGACCTTGGGAGGCCCACGACCGGTTCAGATAATAGTCAACTGTTTTTGGCCGTAAAATAAAAAATGAAAATAAAAAAATAATAGAAATAATATAAATAAAATAATAAATCACGACGTTTCGGGGGCAACACAAGCTGCCTTCGTCAGGTGTAAAAAGGCAGCAAAGTAACTGCACGTCGTGATTAATAATGTTATTTATTAATAATAATTTCATATATTTCTTATTATTTTTCTCTACAGTAGTCTATGGGTTCTTTCGGCTAAGTCACGTCTAAAGATAAAATAAGAAATAAAATAATTTAGTATTTAATAAATTAAATAAATTTTTAATTTATCTTCAGACGTGACTTAACCGAAAGATAAAATAATGAAATAATTTTTTTTAAAATTATTATTTTACCTTTAGGCGTGACTTAACCGAAAGATTAAGTAATAAAATAAATATTTTATTAATTAAAACATTTATTTTATCTTTAGACGTGACTTAACCGAAAGATAAAATAATAAAATTAATAAATCATTATTTTATAAATTAAATAACTTATTATTTTATCTTTAGACGTGACTTAACCGAAAGAACCAAAGAATAATTCCTGCAGTCACGAAAGCTCCAAAATTAAGATTAGTCTATGGGTCTCTGTGACCCCCCCCCCGTGCGGATCGTGAATCGAGGTCAGAATCGACGGACGGCTTGCAATCGAAGTCGATTCTAACGTTATCGCATGGAGGAATCGATTGCTCTCGATCCATGGATCGATCCGACGCCATCACCGAGAACCAAATCGCAATGGAGGGAGACGCCATCAGCTCCCAGCGAGTCGCGAAGTTGCCACCACCACCTCCTCCACCACCTCCTCCACCTCCACCACCTCCTCCACCTCCACCACCTCCTCCACCTCCACCACCTCCTCCACCTCAATTGCCTCGCGACATCAACGACCCTCCCACAGCAGCAGCGGCAGCGGAATCAGCAACAACGACGTCAATTCCCGCCACTGAGGCCTACACCGCCATGCAGCCTGCGGCCTCTGCCCAAGCCGCGTCGCATTCTGCGGGGGAGATTCAGGCGAGGGTCGGTGGCGGCGAGGAGGAGGAGGAGGAAGATGATGAAGCGATGGAGCTGCTGACCGTCATGACCGTCGATCTAATCACCGGCTACGTAGCTCACCTGACGCAACAGCCGGAGCAGCGGCGGCAGCTCCACAAGCAGGAGCAGCAGCAGCAGGAGCTGCAGCAGCCTGTGCATCAGCGACTGCAGCAGCAGCAGCAGCAGCAGCGGCAGCTTCAGGAGGTGCAGGAGCAGCTCCCGGAGTTGCAGCGACATCTCGAGCTGGCGCAGCAGCAGCAGCGGCAGCGGGCGGAGACGCTCTGGCAGCAGCAGCTCCAGCACATGCAGCAGGTGCAGCAGCAGCTCCAGCAGGTGCAGCGGCAACAGGAGCTTGTGCAGCAGGTGCAGCAGCAGCTCCAGCAGGTGCAGCGGGCAACAGGAGCTTGTGCAACAGCTGCAGGAGCAGGAGCTTGTACAGCAGCAACAGAAGCTTGTGCAGCAGCTGCAGCAGCAGGAGCTTGTGCAGCAGCAGGAGCAGCAGCAGCAGGAGCAGCTGCAGCAGGTGCTGCAGCTGCTACAGGAAGTGCAGGAGCAGCAGGAGCAGCAGCTGACGCATCGGTTCGAGCAGCTGCAGCTAATGCAACAGGAGCATCTGGAGCAGTCGCAGCAGTTCGAGGACCTTCAGGAGCTGCGGCGGCAAGTGCGGCAACTCCAGCGGCAGGTGCGGGAGGCCGGGGCGCAGCTGCAGACCTCCCAGCGGCTGCTGCGGCTGCGTGCGGAGCGGCTGCAGGAGGCGTTCGACACCCGAGGAGACGTCTTGCTGGCAGAGTTCGAAGCCTCCATCCCGGACTTTGTGAGCGGCGCGGAGCGGCTGGCGAAGCGAGTGGAGCCGCGCCGGCTGGTCGTGACCATGGCCTGGAAGGTTCTCAACGGAGCGCCCCTGAGCTGGGACGGCGTCCTGTCCGCGGTGGTGTACTGCGCGCTGCTCGTCAAGAGCCTCGGGGCCTGCGGGCGGCTGGGAGACTCGGAGAAGACGCGGCCCCTGACGGACCTGGTGGCCGCTGTGCTGCTGGTCGAACGCAGAAGCTGGCTCATGGAGCACGGAGGCTGGGTGAGGGGTTACACACCACCAACACCGCCACCACCAACACCACCGCCACCACCACCACCAACACCACCACCAACACCACTACCGTCGCCAACACCACCACCAACACCACTACCACCACCACCACCAACACCACTACCGTCGCCACCATCAACACCACCGCCACCACCAACACCACCACCAACACCACCACCAACACCAACACCACTACCGTCGCCACCACCAACACCACCACCAACACCACTACCGTCGCCACCATCAACACCACCACCAACACCACCACCACCACCAACACCACTACCGTCGCCACCACCACCAACACCACTACCACCACCAACACCACCACCAACACCACTACCACCACCAACACCACCGCCACCACCAACACCACCACCAACACCACTACCGTCGCCACCACCAACACCACCACTAACACCACTACCGTCGCCACCACCAACACCACCACTAACACCAACACCACCACCGTCGCCACCGCCACCACTAACACCACTAGCCAGCCACTCACAGGGGGTGTCTTCTTCCCATATTTGAGGCACCTCAGCCTCAGCAGGGTTATCCCCACTTTGTGCCATGATGTTTTCCAGGCTGAGGGATTTCCCCTCCCCCAGGTCCTCACAGAAATGCTCAGCAAATCTGCAAACCTGTTCCTGGGGGTCGTAGATTGAATCTCCGTTCTTTCCCCTAAGGATGGTAATAGGTGTGGCGCTGCAGGTTACTTTTTTGATGGAATTAAAGAGCGATTTGTGATCGTGGGCCATTGAGGCAGACTCCATCTCCTCAGCAACACACGACCACCAACCATCCTTGCAGCGCCTCACGGCTCTCCGAACCTCCGAGCGAAGGCTGCGCTAAGCCTCATTCTCTGACAGTGGGATGCTGTAGAGTCTACAGCATCCCACTGTCAGAGAATGAGGCTACAGTCTACAGTGTAGACGATGAGAGTGGGCCTGTCGCTTTTTCTCAACCAGCATGAACACCACCTCTGTCAGCCAGGGTCTCTGGGGAGGTCTGGATGGTGTACCCAAAGCAGCCATTGCAGCTGCATGAGCCACAGTCCTAAACCTTGCTCATTTTCCCTCGACATCAGGAGTGGGGGATGATGCAAACCCCAGCCGCAATCGATGATGCAATTCTCGCTTACAACTTTCATCAGCGAGCTGAGACCAGGCCACTATGGGTTTGAATGGGGTCCTGGGTGTACACCCACCACCGGAGTGGGAGAATGGCAGACACATCTTACAGATGACAGATGGGCAGTGTCTCACCACCCAGTGTCTCACTACCCAGTGTCTCACCACCCAGTGTCTCACCACCCAGTGTCTCTCTACCCAGTGTCTCACTACCCAATGTCTCACTACCCAGTGTCTCACTACCCAGTGTCTCTCTACCCAGTGTCTCTCTACCCAGTGTCTCACTACCCAGTGTCTCTCTACCCAGTGTCTCACCACCCAGTGTCTCTCTACCCAGTGTCTCACTACCCAGTGTCTCACCACCCAGTGTCTCACCACCCAGTGTCTCACCACCCAGTGTCTCTCTACCCAGTGTCTCACTACCCAGTGTCTCACTACCCAGTGTCTCACTACCCAGTGTCTCACTACCCAGTGTCTCACTACCCATTGTCTCACTACCCAGTGTCTCTCTATCCAGTGTCTCACTACCCAGTGTCCCACTACCCAGTGACTCACTACCCAGTGTCTCACTACCCAGTGTCTCACTACCCAGTGTCTCACCACCCAGTGTCTCACTACCCAGTGTCTCACCACCCAGTGTCTCACTAGCAGTGTCTCACTAGCAGTGTCTCACCACCCAGTGTCTCACTACCCAGTGTCTCACCACCCAGTGTCTCACTACCCAATGTCTCACTACCCAGTGTCTCTCTACCAAGTGTCTCTCTACCCAGTGTCTCACCACCCAGTGTCTCACTACCCAGTGTCTCACTACCCAGTGTCTCACTACCCAATGTCTCACTACCCAGTGACTCACCACCCAGTGTCT